TTGCTATTAATATACCAATCAGCTCATTTCGTAAGCCCAATGTACGTAGCGTCGGATCTTTGATAGCGGTGCCGAAAATAGCCGCTATAATCGGACCCATCAAAGGTGAAACGAGCATACTGGCTGCAAGAAAGATTGTGCTATCTTCGGCTAAACCAATTGCTGCCAAAATGCTAAACACAAAAACATACGCTTATCAGTTTATTAAATAGAAACTAAAAAATCCAACTTACGTAGCAGATATTAACAATATGACAAAATCGAATGTAATAGCCGCATCTTGTTTTACATCACGCACAATTTGCGCTACATTCAAACGACTTCTCACCGAATTCATAAAACGATTCCAAACGCTTTGCTTTTGCTCGTTCAAGTTGCTTCAAAGTGAGATATCAACGCTTACATAAATATTTGTGTTTTGAGATAAAATACTTACACATCATCATTTTTTTGTGGTAAATCGAATTCGGTCTGGCGTCGAAATGTTTTAGAGATCAAACAATTCATCACAGATACGGTCGACCCAACGCGATCTCCGATACCCCACTCGTGAAGTTTGTCCAATAAATTTTCATAGTTCTCATTAAACTCAACTGTAAACATTACCTTATAAGAAAGACATCCAATTACTGTTATATATATAAATTGAGAATAACTTAAATATCTGCCAAAATAAGGATTATTTCTGCTAAAACTGAAATATAAATATTTTGTAAAGGGAAATTACCAACCTGATGCATACGTCCGTCAGTGTCCTTCGTCCAAACTGCGTTGAATATTTGAGATCTTTTTAAAATTTCACGTAATACCGTCTCCATACAAGAGTCACTTGGTATATTTAGTTGCGAAGAATCACGTTTCCTTTTACGGCTTGAAGATGAAAGAATATCACGTAAACCCTCCCAAGATTTCCGTATAAATGGTGGCCCATCCTAACCGAACGAAAGGAAGTGCTTTACATTACAGCCGCCATTATTAAAGTAAACAAATCGCTCAGACACTGTCACTGTCAACAACTACTCACCACAATCTCCACATCAATGTCTTTCGCACTATCTGACGCACTGCCTGTGCTGCTATCCCTGAAGATTGAATTCTTAAGCAACTGTCCAGCATCGCCAAATAAGAATTTATTGCCTTCTGATCTTCGTCGTTTTGGGAAAGTGCTGTATTGCTGCTGATCTAGTGTCGGTGTGGTCAGTGGGTTATCCATTTTAGCGTCAAGGCTAACAATATCGATTTCATTAGCATCGGTAATGTTAATGGTAACTGCAGCAGTGGTAGTTGTAGCATTGGATAAATTCGATAAAGTTGCAGTTGTTGTTGCTGTTGTGACAGGTGTGGACAGCAGTTTATCTTCTCGTCCATAGTTAGCACCGATATCAGACTTTTTTTTGCGAAATTCACTTTGCAGCAGCAACTCCTCCGTTTCTGTCGGTATGGTGATTATGAATAGAACAACGGCCATTTTTTTTAAATATGATTTGTATATATGAAAAGAAAACAAAAATTCAATACAATATTTGTCAATAGTATTGAGTTTCTTCTTTTTTTATTTTAGACACAATTTACTAAATTCACTTCACAACACAATGACAACAATTATGGCTAGTCTTTGCATAACATTCATAAATATAAGGGAATTCGAAGTAACGGTATTTTGGGCGCAGTGCTGTGAGAAATTGGAAGTGCAGATTTTCAGTGATGCTTAGGTAAATATTATTTTTTATTATGTATAAAAATTAAAATAAATAAAGAAATAATTAATATTTTTTATACTGCTTCTAAACTTTAAATCTTTAAACAAAGTTTTATTTAATAAATTACTCACTAAAATAAACCAAATTTTATTTAATATTTGTATATTTGTTTGACGACCTGGCACTCATATTATATTTATTTTCACGTCAGAACATATACATATATGTTACACTGGCGGTTATATTTCAATAATCGGTTAAATTTCCCACTACACTAACCGTTTCCCAATGTTCGCAGCAGTAGCTTTTCGCAGCCACCGCCGGAGCTTTCCATTTTTTTATGCAGCAAAGAAATGTCAAAATTCGTGGTTGCTGCTGTCTGCTGTGCCTAGACCGAGGTGGTTCAAGAAATTTTCAGCCAGTACATAAAAATTCAGTCATCGTTCGAGTCGTCTAAAGAAATGGCAGCCAATCAATTCTACGAAAATAGATTTACAAATTTTCATAAAAATCATATAAAACTATTTGCTGTTTATATGAAAACAGCAAATTTAATGCAAAATTCAAACGTGCTCAAGCGATCTCTTTAAACGTGTAGAAATCGTTACAAAATTGTACAATAATTTATATACGTATGTATTTATAATTTCGGAGCGGCTTAGTAAATGAAAAGCATTGAATTTGCATGGAAATTCTTGTGTATGAGACTTTTTCACTTACAAAACAAGTGCAGCGCAGCAGTTTGTGTATAAAAACGGAGTTTATAAATGCATTTAAATTTACTGGAACCAGAAGTAATCGGAAATGTATATGTAACCAAAAAGTACGTAACGCAAATACATATATCCTAAAAGTATACTACTCCTACAACGTTTTCGCATATTTTATTGTTAGTACATATGTTCATATGTATGCTTTTGTCCAGCTGCAGGATAACCACATGTGTGTGCGACGCGTGTGTGAGCGATTGTACCTGCGGTAGACGTTGAACAAAATTGTTATATAATTTTCGATAGCAAAGCTATATTACTGCGATAATGCGTACGTCTGTATTAAAGCGTGTTTGCAGCGCCACAAAATATAGACATTGTTGTGCGTCAAGTGAAGAGTGCGAAGAAGCTACAGAGATTGCTTGACGTAAACTAAATTTCATATTTAAATGCTTCAGCTGTGCCTTTGTAGAACTCATCATATCTTATACACCCACATTTTTGTGCAAAACGACTTGCATATACATATACATATATACTTATACATAAGTAAAAGAAGTGAAAAGGTCCATAGAATATTGTGGGTACGGTAACCAAACACCTTTTTATTGTTGGCACAGCAGCAGTCAATTTCAAGCATGTGTATGCCGTTACTTTGCAGTTACATATATATAAGTATATATCTGTCAATTGTAAACACCGTACGCGCAGGACTCTTTACCTGTCACTTGACATATCAATTGTTTTTACTTTACTTGACTTCAGTGTGCAGTTTTAGTTAAGAGCTTTTTGTGCAGCTGTCAAATTTAAAAAATCAGATGTTTTGTAAAATGTACAGAGCCGGGCAATGTGTTTTATTGGAGAGCAAAATTGTATTAAGTGCGGGTTTCGCGAGAGTACACGTTGTTATTTCTCTCGCATAGAGGCTGTTGGCCATAAAGTGCAGGTACGAAAACAATAACTGCCATCATTATCGCCATTACTGCTGTTGCTGTTACACATCCTAGCCTAACAAAAATATTGTTATGTAGAGAGTACTTCGCATATATTTGCAGAAAAAATTGGAAAGAAAGAATCTGAAACAAACAAGAATATTTAAAAAAAAATTTAGTTTTGAAACCCTAGTTATAACGGAAGCAATACCGTATTGTTGTGTTTTCCGTCTAATACTCGCGTCCACTTTGTATTCTTAACAATTATTCCAATAAAATATAAAAAAAAAAACGCTTTATTATGCAACTATTGTACTAACCAGCTGTTTGTGTGCAGTGTTAAATATTGGTAATATTGTACATACATACGTACATGTGCAGAGTCGTGTTTGCATTTTTCGATACAAGAGCGGTCATATACGTATGGCGCATGAATGTGCAACCGGTTGGCAGACTGTGCAAAAATTCAAGTACAAGGATATTCTCCTTCAAGGTTTCATTTCGCCTTCAACAGTCAACATACAAATGGCTACTGGCCATTTGCGTTTACACCAAATTGAAGACTTTGACGACGCTTTGCGTTGCAGTGTTGCGTTATGCAACTGCTTACGTATTTTATGCACAGAAGCGACCTTTTCCACTTGCGTGCATAATCAATGGAAAAGCAATTTTCACATGCATACACAGCTACATACTTATACATATGTTTGTATATAGAGAGTATGGCTGTATGGCGGTAATTGTACACCATAACACGCCCCTTTTGAACAAAGAGCATTCACACTCATCCAACATTTGAAAATTTTATAATAACAACAATAGCGAAAAATTTTCTATAAGCAAAACAAATAAATCAATACTGAGAAGTTTATGCTAAAAGCATAAATTAACTAATTTTTAGGCACCTCATCAGTATACAGTCCGCTGTTGCCTTATTGCTTGATTAACTGTATGGAATTTAGCGATTCTTTGCATATTTACAGGTTTAGCTTGTGCGTCTGGTAAAGAGTGTGACTGCTTCCTGTGCTCATTCGAAATTGTTAAGCAAAAGTAACTTGTTCACCTGTTTTCCGGCAAGTTGAATTGATCTGTATAAGTATGTGCTTGTGTGCAAAAAATGTTTGCCATATATTTGAAAGAATTTGCTTAGCATTATATAACAAAATAAACCACTACGTTAAAGCATACCTAATCCAGCAAAATCCACTGCAGCTTATATGCAATTCAATTCTAATATTTAATTCAATTGAAATGTTTAATTCAAATTATAATGCAAATGTAATTCTGCTTGCTTCCTTCAAAAATATCTAGTAAAGATCAAAGCGTTACTAGCGTGGTGAATTTTCAACGACCATGTTGCCACTGCGCACGAATATCTCATATATGTATATGTTACATGCTACATACATATATTTATTTGTTTTGATTAATAATTGTCTTTAATATTTCCTAATGCATTTTTGTTTTATTATTTACTTTATTAATCTTTAATTCAATCAATTTTTAAAACTAGGTGAATGTTAGAAAATCTAAAAATGGCAGTACAACATTGTTCACATACACAACGCTGCATTTCAAAAAGGGAAAAGTCAAGCTACAATTGTACACAATAGCGCTGTCAGTTGGCAGTTTGTTTTTTTCTGCTTGCTAGTAAACGCGCAAAGCAAAGTAGAATCGGATTTTGTTGAGTTGACATTTTTGGTGCATTCTTGGTTTATTATAAGATTCATTTTGCTAGTTCCAGTGAAGCGGTCGCGTTATTGTTTCGTCTATATTAAGTGGCAATTTTTGTAATATAAGAAAGTGCTTAATTTAAGAATATGTGCGCGTTCCTGTACGTAAGCGCATGCATACAGTACGCCGTCTGCAAATCGTTTCCAAAACAAATAGAAAATATAAATATACATTCGGTTAGAGAAAATATGTTAAAATACATCAAAGTGCGGTGCGGTGAAGAGCAGATGGTGTTTTGTTAGTGCCCGTCTGCTTGCCGAGTGCAGTGCATACAAAGGACGCGCGCATTTTTGCGCTTCGCTGGCAATGTGATCAAATGCATTTCTCTACACTTATTAAATTGTTCAAATGAAATGCTTGTGAAAAGTAAACAAATTTTTAGAATTATGAAAATATAAGTGAACGCAAATATTAATAGTAAATTCCAAGAAGGAATCTGAAAAGGTAATTGTTTTAGTTTAAAAACAAGAACGGAAAGGGAAGCCACGGAACAGCTGTACCGTACTTAAGCTGTGATTGGTAGTTATTTATTGTAGGCAGTGCAGTTGTGTTGCTATATCTACCAGCTGTTGCGATAAAATGCCCGTATGAGTTAAAGAAGGTAGAGATAATCTTTATATAATAATAAGTGATCAGAAAGTCATAAAATTAACATGCTTATAAGAAACATAAATAAATACGAACGAAGTCAACTGTAGTCAATGATGTAAAAGATTTTTAACGTTTTAGTACCATGCATTTGTGATTTGCAGCTGACTTTGTAGCTCGTTTATTTTCTTTGTGCTATGCATAGCGTACCTAACTCCTGTTGAGCAGATATCCTGGGTTTGTTGTCTACCGCTACATATTTATGCAGATAGGCACAAGTTATGCATATTATTTGGTGATATGGGCATGGACTTGTATATACATATGTACATACACATGTACATAGAACATTGAATATTCGTTTTAATAATATGAAATATTTTATGATACAGCATTATGTAAATCTTATCAGACAGCTTAAAAACAAGATTCGGCAGGAGTTAAAAACATTTCATAATCCATTATCATTAGTACCACTTTATTCTTCGAATTTCTATAATTAAATTCATACTACATACAAATATGCATATCTGTGTGTCTGTATATAACCTAAAATTTATATACATTTCTATATATGTACATGCATTTATAAATATTCCTTCTATGTATGGAAAATTATTATTCTAATAATTTTATCATTATTTCTTGATAAAAAACGCTTAGCGTTAATATAGTTTCACTGAATCACATCGTTGGGCGATTATATGAATGGAAAATTATGTAAATATTTACGCAATTATAAACTCAATACATGTGCTTATGTATATACATGTGTAGAGTTGATAAAGAACCAGCAAGTTATTTTTAATAGCCATTGGAAACGATTATTGTACAAATCTTAATGTCTATATGTAAAGTAGACATAATTAACACTTGACATTCATACATATCCCATACAAAATTATAAAAAATGTGAATACAAACATACATATATAGACATGTTTGAGATCCCTGTTGTACTGACTCATGTTAAATGACTTTAGCAACAGAGAAAATTCCAAGTGCATTCACTCGTACAAACACATACGAAAGTGTGTATCATAGTCTTATTATTTTTGTACTAATAACGCTATTTAAAACACTGAAACCAATTGTGCATATGTATATACAAGTGTATATGTATGTGTACATATGGTTATGGCTACTTTGTATAATGTATTTTTCTATGGTTTACTGATTCTCATAAGTAGAACAAATTGTAAAGTATCGTATCCGTATGATATTTTGGTACATAAACTTGATTAATTTTCAAATTTATATAATAAATACTCCATGTGAAATAATCCGATAAATTTTTGTAATATTCTGCGGTATTTTTATCACCTCTTTTGTAATTAAACAGTGTGATTGTGATTCATAAAAATATTTACATAAATACATACATACTTATACTCGTTGCTTATGAAATTTACTGTCTGGCATTGCTGTTACTACCTACTGGTGAATTCGATGTACTTTCATTAAGTTTGATTGATGACAATGTGGCATTAATAATTTGGTTTACTTTACAAAATTGTAATTTACGTATAACCTTTACAATATTTAAATATACATATTTCATTGTGCTATGTTAACAAATAATTATGTACATACTTATGTATAATAGAGTGCATAGAATAACAGTCAATGAGAAACAGGAAAAAATTTGTTTACCACTTTAATACATATACCCACTCTTTAATAGCGCTTAGCGCCTAATTTAACTCGTAGTACGACTATTTTTATACCCTGAACAGGGTTTGCCACGAAATTTGTAACATCAAGAAGGAAACATCGGATACGGTATAAAAATGTATACATATATTGAGTCGTTCACTAAGTAGTTTCGTATCATGACAATAGCTGATCTTATTGAATTTTTTTCGTAGTTAACAACATACTTACCTGCTTTACCGATATAACCAATATTAACGTCTTGTTGAACTCTGAATTTTAAGTTTACCATGAAGTTTCTAACTCCCACAAAAAATTGTCAGAAACCCTTATAGTATATCTATATATGATTGACGAGTGTGACGAGCTGAGTGGATTTAGCCATCTTCGTCTGTCAATATATGTACATAAATGCGAACTAACCCCTCAGTTTTTGAATACGCAATCTATAACTTTTCACATTTCCTTTCCTTGCGAAGAAGTTGCTTGTTTTTCGGAACGACCGATATCAGACCACTATATTATATAGCTGTCATACAAACTAATCAGTTCAAATCAAGTTCCTGTCATACAAAATTATACTCTAAGATATGCACCTATAAAGGGTGTTTCAGTTTGAAAACTGTTAATGTATTTGTGTATTCAAATGCTTATATTGATATATTGACATACCTACACTAATATGTAAAGTACATAACAAATAATTATGTAAATACAAATCACTCATACAAACATACTTTGAGCAAAAAATAGTAAGACTTTTTAGTTTAAACTTCGCAAAATCCTTTTGTTGAAATATTTTTTTTATCTTGGTATTACTGTTAATGACGTCTGTGCGAAATGTCACATCAATTAAGAATTTTGGAAAAGGTCTTCGGTGGGGTCGAATCAAAGGGATAGAGTGGGGTTGGTGGGGCATGCAAAGAGGTGGCCCGTGTCATGCGGAGACCCATTGTACGCAGGACATATATTGGATATGAAAGGGTCTATTCTGTATAAGTAGGAGTTTAACCTGCTACAGTTTTCAGAAGGAAGCTGTGCAAGTATTACTCTTGTTTCTCGCGACATCTCGAGCCCTTCGTCTGCGATGGGTGGTGAGTTGACTCCGATACGCCATTCACCGGAAGAAAGTCGGTGAAGGTATTGATGGCTCCACTGTGAATGTTGGTCAGTGTTTGTCGGAAGTTTATTGCGTCCAAAGTCGGGTCGACGTACTATCTAATGTCGTCGACGTAATTCAGGAATGACCTCTTGATGTTCTTAGGATGCGGTTTTGTAATTTCTGTGAATGCATCCCAGCAGGAACTGCTTGTCGGGAGTTCATTATGTTTCTCAACTGGGAGTTTAGGGGCCTCACTATGTAGGTCTTCGATAAGAGATATCAAGAGGCATTATGTTGTAGTCCGGAGTGCAGTGTTCTGGCAAGTATGCAGCTTCTTCGTCTGCGTTCCACTGCATCCAGACGACAATATTGGTGCGAGTAGTTGAGGACCAGCCGGCCGATTGCCTTGTAAGTTGCCAACAACATTTCTTTGTCCTTTCCGCATATGCTTCCATGACATTTTCAATTAAACAAGAATTGAAAGAAGAGGGATCACTTTGAGGAGACGGCATAAGTTTTGAAGAAAAAATTAAGAATCTAAAATTACTAACAAGTCTTACTACGTTTTGCCTTTTTTTTGAGTTTTTTAGTCTGCAGTACAAGCAAACTTAATAAAAAAATTATAACGTTTCAGTTTGATAATATTATTTTACATATCACATAATGTGTGAAATACATACATACTTGATATATTGGTCTCTTTACTCATACATGTCCATATAATAAATACACGGATATAATTAATTTATTTTATTTTTTGCCCCTACCACTTAGTTTTTTGCTTATTTCAAGGCCAATGGTAATAACACTTTTATCGTTTTTATTTGAGATTTGTGCGGAGAAATTAATTCAAATAAGTAAAATGTAATAACTTACAAATTTTTATTTCCAAATTGTTATAGTTACTTGCATTAATAATAATAAAAGGTTAATGCGTAATAAGTTTATACAAATATATGCCCTCGACTACCAGCTTGAAAAAATATTTCTAAATATTTTATTATGAATCATAAATCAGATATTAACTAATAAATATTTCTACATTCAGAAATATTATAATTTTATCCAAACGGAATTATCCGCGTGCCGCTTTCAATGGCGTCTTGCCAATACATTTGTTTGCCTGCTGATAAATTAGATAAATTAAAATTCAATATTTTACATTTTATTTTCAATAAACTGCTAAGCATTGTTTATTTTGCTTGCCCATTTCAAAATCAATAAAAATACTGCAACCATACATATATGTAGGTATATGAAAGCCAAATCCAAATTGCCGAAAAGGTTCAGCACATACAGATAATTTGTAACAGTTGCCAAGTTCAATGTCGTAAACACATTTGGCAGAACTGCATATATAGTTTTCAAGAACCGTCAAAGTGTAATGACTGCAATCATATAGAGAAATATTCTGCAGTGGCTGGCTGGTAAACTTGCGTAATGCTTTTCCATTTGCGTCAACATACGTAAGTAGGGTATGTATGTGGATAGATATACTGCTGGTATACATATATGTATGTAAATATATTTGTACATAATGACATAAGATGATTCGATTATATATATGTATGTATGCATGTACGAGGTGTGTTCTAAAAATAACTGGAATTTAAAAATTTCGAAAGTTTGAAGTTTTGGTTCAGTTGTCAAAGTAAGTTCAATCACATTTTCTTTATTTTATGAGCTTGGCGACTTTCGCTTGTTAAAAGAGATGACTAAAATGTAGACGATTGAGCCTTATTTTAAAGTTCCCGCTATTTTTTGAACACACCTCGTACAAGCAAGTCGAAGTTTTGAATGATTTCTTGAAAAATATGTATTTCCAACCTTATTATGATTTTTGCTACTCTCTAGAGTTCTTTTAAAAATAGTCGAAAACGAATTTTGGTATTTCTAATCAAACTTCAACTTATTTTTGTTTTATATTTATACTAATACATAAACCAATATGAACCATTTTGGTTGACCACTTCTTGCCATTTTCCCGCTAGAGACATTATTCCATCAGTGTAAAACTTTCATCATTGTTGAGCTACATGAACTGATACAGTATCGTCTCTGTAAATTTAACAAAATTGCTTTGGTGGCTTGCGTGGCATTCTTCCCTTTTTATACAAAATTTTCAAAATATAGCGAATTTTTTTATTATTTTTACTAATATTTGAACAGCTGTAACTTTTTTCACCACTAATTTGAGGTCGATCTTAGCATACATCTATACATAACTGCATAGTTTTATACGAGTAAAAATACTTCTG